TCCTTCAACCACTGCTGTAATTTCTCTTCTTGTTTCTTTTCTTTTCCCTCCAACCACTGCTGTGGAAATTCTGTGTATTACCAAGTTGTATCGAGAAAGAATAAACTAGTTTTAATTAAGAAAGGACTTGTGTCTCTGAAGTTCCTCAGAAAGAATTTATACCGGAAGTTAACAAACAAGCAGATACGTCACACAAGTATAAATATTATCTGTAACTGAAGATCTCAAATTAATTTTTGCTGGAATAGAACATTGAATTATTGGAAATGTCATTCAACCAATTAGAACAAAAGCATTTTTTTGTACATTTCGTTTTTTATTAGTACCATCATTATATTCTGAAATGGAGATTTCTGTTGGTTTGGGTATGGATAAATTCTAATATTAATATTTTATCTATTTGTTTGATAGTTGTGTCTTGATCTCATTGGTTCAGTGCCATGAGCTGTAACATTCTTGTATATATTTTTTTACAAATATAGTGTGTAACTTTCTCTTTCCTAGTATGTCTTCCTGAAGCTGCATTTGCAAGAAGGCCTTGCTCTTAATATGTCTCACACTGATCTTATAAGTTAATACTTAGTCAGGTTGGAAGATAAATATGTGCAAGACGTTGAATTACGACTCTTCATATGTGATGTTGTAACTTTCTAAGTCTTATTATTACTATTAATGTTTCTTAAGGAATATCACATTTAAATTTTGCCCTTTACAGAAGATTCAACTTTATTAGCAAATTGTGTATTCATGTAGAAAAAGTATTAAATAAAATAATGCCAGCATAAATTTTATAAAACCCTCAACGTTTTCCATAATGAAGGACAGTGAGTTAAAAAGTACTTAGGTACTAGGTTGAGTGAATAAGGAGTCAATTAGTTATCTACATGTTACCCTTTCATTGAGTGGAGCTGTGACATAGTTTCCAGAGAGTCGGCTATCACAGGATATGTAATGATATAAATAGTACAAAGACGTGATTGTCTGCCTTCACAAAGTGCAGCTATGTGTCTGATCAGCTGGGGGTTATATAAGGGGAGTATTGCAGCGGGAAACGTTGGTGACAGATTATCTCCACAAATGTAGATGTCTATTACAGTAGACATTTGGTACTATGGAGGTCTGAATGCTGGTGTTTTTATGTTCCGTAGATAAGATATACTATATTCTTTCTTTGTAGTTACTTTCATAAATAGTATTGGTTCAAATGTTTTTATATATGTAGTAACATTACTTTTGAGTATTATACATTGTTAGCTTAGTATATACATATACATATTTAGGACTAACCTAATTCTCCTAAGCTGGCTGACCCTCATGAAATATTATTGGATTTATGATTGAAACATTGCTAACAGTGAAAATGTGTATAATAATGTAAGCATATTGGGTAGTAAGATTTTCCATAATCTGTAGTTTTCATTTAATCTGGAATAAAAAATTTATATCAAGAAGTTATGACTAGTAATTCACACCACACCTAGTTCTAAACTTTAAATTCTTCTTAGTTTATATCTTTTCAGAGATACAACTCTGATCTTTCCTTGGGTTCAAATATTAAAATATTTGTGGTCATTAAAAACAAACTGAAAAAAAAGTGTAATTTTTAGGTATCCAACTCATTACACTGAGCATGCTTTTAAGAAGCTACTAAGGTTAATTGCACTTCATCAGAATGATGTTCCAGGTCCTGTGCTATTGGCCAACACCACAATCTCCACCGTAACAGTTTCTGTGAAAGGTACAAGAGTAATCTTAGATTCCTCATCTTGAGAAAATTTCCACAGACCATTTACTGCATGAAGATATTGGCTAACAAAGTCTTTTTTTAAGCAGATTAAATGGACAGGTGTATGGTTGGGATTACAGTTTTCTTACCATCACTTTTATGTAAAACGTTGATTATTTTGAGATATAGCTGGAATTTGTAAGCTTTCATCAACTTAAAATCTTTAGTATCTTGTCAATAGTACTAGGAGATATGTTACTCCAGAATGAGTTGAGATGTGGTTTCAGACAATGCTGCTATTTTACAAATGTTGTAGTGCAAGTTTTTCTATTTTCAAGGACACCATTGAAAGCTTCTTTCTTCGAAATGATATGTCCTTTGGTTCTACACCACTTAACAATCTTGCTGTATGAATATTTCTCGTTGGTAAGGCTTTGTTTATTTCTCCTGCCACAAGTATACTGACGGCAGCATTGCTTTGTTGAATGGTCAAGAAGTTTAGTGAACCAAATATACAATGGGTGATAGATATGTTGCATATGGCTTGCCTCTGTGATGGGTTGCTCAAATAAAGCATGTTAACCTTTCAAACTTTAAGCTTATTTCATGGATTTTAACCTAAGTATTAATAGTTACCCGTGTCTCTGAAATACACACAAAAACTTTCATCTTATTACTGCAAATGCGTATTGTTATTCTACTGTGGAATTTGTCTTCTTATAATTAAAATGTGTAACTGTATTGCTCGTATACACTAAGTTGTAAAAACAATTTTTTATACAAATCTAAACTTATTTCAAATTACTGAAATATGTTACATCCGGATGGTCACAATCTCTTTAAAACAAATATATATATATATATATCTTATAATAATTTTTTTTTTACAAAATAGAAACTGAAAAGTCAGTTGTTGTTTTTTTCAGAGATTTTCTTTTTTTATAAATAATAATTTGCATTTCAAAAAGATTGTTCATTATATCTTTCATTTGTATGGATTTGTTGCTTTTGATCTGGTTTGCATGTGAGAAGAGTGCTTCTTTGGATAAAATCAACAACAGATCAAACACAGTCCAGAATGATATACACTTATCAAAACACTGGAACAAGTGTTGTTTGAAAAATATAAAAGATAAAGTACAAACGAAGTTACTACTATGATTTGCACAAAATGTTTAGTACCAAATAAGAATTCAAGCTCACAAATGGAGCTTATTTTTTACTCTTCCTGACATTTCCTCTATCCAAAATATACCTCGACTCAAAGACCATAATGGTATAATTGGCAATTTCTTTGGTACCAAATAACTGGTATCTAAACTTCTCATTTATCTCCCCGCCTACAAACTTAAGGGCAAAAACAGAAAAAAATGGATTAAAAGATCTATCATTTTTATTCCAGATATAAAGAGTTACTCATACCTTTTACACTATAAAAAAATAATAAAATAACTATACAAAGCTAATTTACTAGATACCATGCACTTATTACCACAAGTTTTTAGGCTATATTGTGGTTTCTGAATAAGTGTTAGTGAGATTAACTGTTTGTGAATTTATTCTAATGAATTGAAGCAAGTTAAAAAGGGTATAAACTGACCTGTCACTTGAAAATTCAATATATGTTGTGAAGAAAACCTAACAATTCTCAAGGAATTATCTTTTGCATTAGCAAGATTTATATGTGTTCCTTACAATCACTATCCATTAACACACTGCTTTCAAGTTTCACAGACTTTGCATTTTTTCTTTTCCAGCATTTATTGGGTCAAAGTACAAATATTTTATAACAAGTATTTGAAAATAATTTCCACACAACTAGTGGCTACAGCTGTATACAAAGAGCTAAATAACAAGTATGCAAAGCTGTAGACATTTCTTTTATACAAGGCTGTTCAGCAAACAATACCAATTAATTATTGTTCAGATGGAGGACAAAAGGAATTTTACTTTACTGGAAACACATAATAAAAAATGTCAAGACTTACATATACAGGACTGGCCAATTCTATTAGTCAAAGCCAACTAACACAAAGGATCAATTATCTTGGTGTAAAAAGCTACAAGGTAGAATTACAGTAAGCGAATTCAGATTCCAGAGTATTTTTATGACAGCAGATTGTGGAATTGATACTGTATTTAACTGCAACTGTTTATACTAAGAACACGATACCTCTTCTTGTCTTATAAGTCATTTACTCTTTCCTTATATTAAGTTAATTTTTTAATGATAGCCTTTTCTATTTTAATAAAGCATGCCACTTAAGTATTTAGCAATGTTATTATGCACTTTCTTCTATTAAGTTAGTATTAGTATATATTATAAAAAAATAATATTATCTTTCCTCAAAGATAATGGTTATAATAAACCTGACCTTTCAGCAAGTTAAGAGAATATTATGGAACAAGCCTAATAAGAAGATGTCCAGATACTTTCACATGATTAGGACTAGTTTTAAATGTACAGTAAAATATATCAGCATTACAGTGTTTCAAGTTTAGCAAATGCAGTAGCTGATGGAAAATCCATAAAATACTAACTGTGATGGGTTGCTTTTTTTTAGCACATAACTGCACAATGGACTATCTGTGGTGTGTTCATAACAGAGAACTGAACCTCAGATTTTATCGTTGTAAATATGTAAATTTACAACTTTTTTCTTTTTAGAAAAAAATTCATGTATACTCAAGTTAGAAGTGTTCATTTGAGCGTAGTAAAAGCTTCTTTACTATAATGAACATATTTTTTAAATAGCAGGTGTATGCAATGATCAAAGATGTATAAAGTGAAATCTATCTGGCCTAACAATATGAGGTTTGTTTGCAGCATATATAACTTTACATTTTATATTTATAGGGCACTTGATATCACTTTGATAACAGCTAATCCAAAATAAATAATGTAAAGCTATTATTTTTCTTAGAGGTCAGAACCAAGCTTCTTTTACATTTTAGTGTTCTTGAAACAAAGCAGAACACCTTGATCCAAAAGTCATTTTTGTGGTGATTTGAAATGTGGTTGGTAAATATAACTGAAGCATTACTTTTTAAGCATGTATGTATAAACTGTAGTAAACATTTTTGGCCAAATTTGTAGTTGGACTGGATGGAATGTTTTCAAGATTGAACTTTTGGCCCTTCATTGTCTAATTTAAGTACGCACACATTTCAAAGCTGTATATATAAATTAATAAATGTATTTATATTCCTGTAAGGTTGCAAAAGATTTGCACTTAACTCTTAAACCAGATTTCTCAAATTGACATACTTTTAAAGAATTTATATCTACACACTTTAATCTAGACAAAATAATAAAAATATTAAAATTAGCTGTAATAGTACTAAAGCTTTGAGCTTCATTAAATTCACACAACCAAGTATTAGTATTTTGTAACCATTCACCTCTTTGATATAAAGTAGTGAAGTTTATACATCTTTTGGAATCCAATGGAATATTTTCATTTTACTTTTACCTGCACATTTTCATGAGTTACAATATGTTACTTTTAAATAAGGTATTTTGACTGATCAAATCAATAATTCACAATCTTTTGGTGGTAAATATTACACATGTGTTGATTGCTCTACACAAGAAGCTTTGTATACAGCATCAGCTTAAATCTATTAAAACAAAATGGCCTTACATTTGGCATTAAAGGGCCAGTATACATGTTTCAAGGTGAAGACATTAGCCCACAAAATACACTTACCTTTCAAAAGATTAATTTAAGAGCCAAAAATTGACCCATGAAAAAAGTTTTTGAACAGAGCACCAAAATATTTTATGGAAAAATAAAAGTAACTTATCAAATTACTTATAATGAAGGTCACATATATTTGTGTATTCAGATTAGACATGGTATCTTTAAGTTTCCAATAATAGGCTATTTTCTGATCTGCATTTCCTGTGCCTTGCTGACTGCCAAAAGCTCTATAAAACCTCTTTTTGACAGACTAACAGCCCCTTTTGTATATTTTAGAAGTCTTGTTTTAATATTTGCATTTGTTAACACTTCTTGAAACTTGGTTGCATACTCTTACATAGGAAATTAATGTCTGTGTACTTGAAAAAATAAAAACGTACTTGGGAGTCTGGGAGTATTTTAAAATTAATTAACATAGCTTTAAATTTTGAGTTGCATCTTTAATATTAAATGTTTCTTGAAAGAGTAAGGTTTATAGTAGTACATAAATACACAATACTGTATAAAGTAACCTAAAATAAAGCTTAAGTTTACAATAATGGTATACCACCAAATGCACGGACTGAAGAGGACATGTGAAAGTGTTGAAACTTTGGTGGTATACCATTATTGTGGAGTTAGACTTTATCATGGTTTATATTATTGGAGTCACATTAGTTTAGTAAAAAAGTAAATCACATTAATATCTAAAGAGTCATATATTTTAATAATTCATCTTTTTTTGTTTTTTACTTGTTAGAAAAGAAGATATTACTTTAAGAAATTCTGATCATTTCTTCAGATTTCCTATTTTTAGGTGATCTATTTAGCATTTCACATTATCTGCTTTTATATACAGGAAATAAAGTTAAACAGTTTGTTAACAGATATTTTCTCTAGTGGATGTGTATTTTTTAGTTGATTTTATTTGGGTCTTTCATGTGAAAAATGAAACTACGATAAAAATGCTGATAAAGTTTCTTGTGCGCTTATTTCTTAAAGATGTACAAATATCATGAATTCATACACTTTTAGACCAAAATCTCTACATCTGCTATTATATCATTAATTTGTAAATTAACATGTACAATATATTGATGTAATAGTCACATTAATACACTTGAAAAACACACAAAAGAACAACCTTGTATCAAAGAATGTACTTTTAACTTTGCATGTGGAAAAAAGATAGTAAATATATTAGTCACAAAAGGTAAGGAAGTCAGAATTTAGATAACTTCTTGCATATGTATGACATTTCAATAATTACATTTTTCATTAATCATTATAAATTAGTGATTTGTCAAAAGAATATCTGGGAAACTCCAACAAAAATATAATGCAGTAAAATATTTAAAACATTCAAAAATTAACCAAATTAGCAATTTCTCCCAGCAAAAAAGTTAAATATTTTAAGTCTTGTTTTGAACATAGAAAAATGAGATATCCTTTAAACATACATATTATTGTTGTTAATACCATATATATCCTAGCTTTATTGATAAATAAACAGTGAATAAAATAATTATTTTATTTACCAAAATTAACCAAATACTGACTTTCTCGGACGAAAGCATTGATTAGTTTTTTTTTAATCAGAACTGCATAAGAATATTATTATAACTGCCATAAAACTTTCAATAACAAATTTAATCAGTGAATTTCTGGCTGCTCAAGTGCACAATTATTAAATTAAAACTTAAAATATAAATGATATCCTAAATTAACAATTAATATTTTGATATTAACCAAATTCAAAATATTTTATAATAAATATGCAAGACATATAATTGACACCTTAATCAATAATTAAACTGACCTTTCAATTAAAGTATATATTACTCTCACATTTATTCATAGTCGCAATTACATGATATAAACCTTCAGATCAGATTCATTTTATTCTTCTCTTCTTATTGACATACGAGTTCTTGCAAAAATAATACTTCACTATTTCTAAGAACAATGCTTCACAGTCTGGAAAACATGAGGAACTCAAAAAACCATTCACTTATAATGGATTATGACTAGACTGGCACAGTACTTATGTTATAATGTTGGTTCATGTCATATTTTAAAACCACAAAATTGAACAGTTCTCTTTCTTCAGTTTAATGGATCGACACAGTAAAAAAAAATTTCATAAAAACAAAAAATTTAGTTACAAGTTTCAAAATCTTAGTTCAACAAATAATTTATAGAAAATGAAAAAATACTGTAAAATATTAAGAACTTAACACGTATTAAAATAACTTTTGTAGGTTTCCAAAATGTTCAGTATTTTTTTTACTATACTATAGACACAATAGGCAAAATAAAGGGGTAAAAAGTACATTCAAACAATATGAAAAAAATGCATCACTTTGACTTTACTTATGTTAATTATTGAGTATTATGTACCAATCTTAAGTTATAAAACACTGACTAGTCAAAAGGGAGAACATCCAATTCCACTCCTAGCATACGTGACATGCTACTGTCCAAAATAATTAAAGCATCAAATATTATATACGACTGTAATAATGGATAAAAGATTTGCCAAACTAATGCCACTAAACAATGAAGTTTAGTTTTTTAATACAGATATGCATTATCAAAACACAATTAGCACTCATACAAAGTATAATCTCTCAGGATATTTGGAATGGAAAACTTTTCATTAACAACTGTAAGTTTGCTTATGGGTTGAGATATAATTAGACATAATAAAAAACACACAATAACACTACATATTTACATACAAAATTACACACGTTGCTAATTTTTCCAGAGTTACATGTAACAATCAAATTAAGTTGTATCCTACTTATGATCAAATCAGTATTATGAAGCAAACATACAACTTAATAGATATCATGATAATAAAAATGTACATGCTAAAAAAAAAATTATTATTTATAAAAAACCCTCTAGTATCAATGATACTTGGGTCACAAATACTCAAGAATATTGTGTTCAACGTATATGTCACTAAATGTTTAACCAATCAGTTAAAACATTCATGCTATGTAAAATGTTTGGTAATGAAGCTTTTGTTTTTCATGGGGTCCAAGGTGCCCAAAATATTTACAAATGTATCAGTCTTAGAAGTAAGAACTACTTTTCTGATATTAATTTTATCTTTGGTTATCAGAATTCTAAACTGAAGTAAATTTCTACAAATACAAATAGTTCCAAGGATATTTTTCTTTGGCTGTGTGTGTGTGTGTATATATATATAGTAGACACAAACTTTAGGATATCAGACAGTGTTAAGTATGTAGTTTAAACAATGTCTATATACATAATAAAGGTTGTTTCTCCTTTAGCAAAGGATACCAGAAAATTGTGGTTTTTAAAACACATTTCAAACCTTCTAGAATTTTTAGTTACTTACATCTAAATGAATTTCAAACATACCATTTTTGTGTTGCAGATTAATTATACATAGCTAAGGTTGTTTTAATTTCAATCATACTACTTTCAACTGAAGATGTATTTAGTTAGGTTGTAAAGCATAACTTCAGATAATCATTTTTATTTAATAGGTTATATATTTATCTTTAGTACCTAAAATGTATGCAAAGTAACAGTACTAACATTCAATAATAAAAATCAATAAAAATGCTTATTAAAGTCAGAAAGGTTACAAAAATTTGTAAATGTCTTTTAACTGATCAAAATCAGCTAGTAAGTGCATTTACTGAACTTTGTAAATATGTAATTGTTTAATAAGTATTTTCTTCAAACTTAACAATAAAGTCAATTGAAATCACTATGTAAAGAAAAAAAAAAAACTATCTAATTTTGTGTGTGAAATTAAATCTAGATGGAAGGAAATCACATGACCCTGTATAACACAAGGTACAAAATTCTTTTTGAGAGCAGCTGATGCACATGGAAAAGCTTAGAAATCAAGTGCTAACAGTTGTGACTCAACTTCTGAAAAAATCATACTGGTATTCTGGTTTATGTATCACTCACTAGTTCTGTTAAACAACCACACAAAAACACAGTATCAACACTTTCATGCTAACAGTGAAGTTCAAAATTTCATTGTGGTTTTCAGCCTGAAATGTTATTATTTTAACAAGCAACAACCATTTCCTTTTAAGTCTCAATGTTGAAAAACATTATCTTAACAAGCTGATAAAACATCATATAAACACTGAAACAAAAACATATATTCAGACATACTCCAAGTTTCAGTCCACCACTTAAAGTAACATAAATTATAATGTATTCATAACAGAATGATTTAGATACTAAGACTTACGATGAAAGAATACACAAATATATTGTTTTGTATTAATGGAAATATCCCAGTTACCATTCAATCCAAAACTCTAGAAGTTAGCAACCTGGGCATGAGACATCAGGAACACAAAGAAAATGTATTTAGAACATAAAGCTATTTACTATTCATGATAATAAAGAAATGAGTAACTTCTTAAAGTTACTGATTTATACAAAATTTATTATACCAGTTACAAATTGGTAGTTTTAAGCACATGAGGGTTACCCCTGCTCATACAATATCACACACATATAATGAGCCTCAACAAGGTCTGAATGTTGTAACTTTCATAATATTACTTCTCAGCGCATAACTTATCCTTTAATTCAATATTTACTTTCATACAAAAGCTCAACAAAAAGACTTACACTAATAACAAATCCTCTCTCTATCAAAAGAGATTTCTTCAGTAACTGGATTATAATACACTCAGTTGCAAGGATGTATCCTGCATTAGATGGTTTTCATAGCTCCAACAGATTTACAATCTCAAACTTACTAGTGCATAGAAGGCTATTTACAATAGTTATAAATTTAATGAACCTTAGTGAAAGCTTTCAAATTCTAGAATTATAAAAATCATGAAACTGCTTAGAAACTATGAATAAGTACTATCTGGCAAAAGTAGGCAAAATACACAAGTAGGTCCTTCTGGTATTGTAAGCAATGGACTCCTGATGGCATTTTTTTATGGTTTATGGGAGACTGCTCCTTTAATTATTCAGGGCTAGAAAAGACTGATGAAACTGTTAAACAGCATAAACAGCCTGTTAAAAGGCCTAGGATTATGTAGGCAGATGTCACCAACCAAAAGGAAAATAAATAGACAGTCTTGTTGCAGTAGTATGGGCTACTTACATCATCATATTCAGGTTCATATATTTTGTAGATCCACACACAACCTATAATAAAAGAAATGACTTTTCTTAAAACTCAAACTATTTTTAACTTAAACAGAAACTTGCAATTTCATTTATATCAAGCAAACAGCTTGATGAAAAGGTCTTTCTTAGATGTTATACAGCTATCTAATGCATAAGTTTGGTCTAAATGTACTTTAAGTTTATATTTCATTATTACAATCCAGTTTCCTTTCACATGTGTGCTGAAACTGTATTTGGTATTATTTTTATTCTGTAGCTGAGCTATGAGAGTCCATGCTGATTCCAAAATCTCGAGAAGTCAGATCAAATAAGAATGTTTGCTTTGTGGGAGATATCATTTTACAACCACATATTTACGGTGTTACTGTGCTCATCTAGTTAATTTTGTGTGCATGGATGGGGTCAAAGTTCACATACTACAACCTTTTACAAAGTGCCAATCAATGTGATATTACAAATTTGATGTCAGAATTATCGACTATTCATTTTACCCTGCACTGCTGATTTAGTGACAGTTTGTGGTATAGGAGTTTGAATACCAGGTACAACATACAGAGATATTAAAAAAAACGTAGATATGCATTTTGGAGGTTCTACACATTATGCAAATACAATATGCAAACTGTAAGATGGACAAAAGTATTTTTATTTGTCACATGAACATCACTTTGCACTCTGATTTACCAGAGGCTAAGTGAGACTGATGTCATTAATTCACAGACATATTTTGATTACAAATATATTTGTAATAACATCAAATTTTTTGGGTATAACAGATTTATACATTTGCTTAAAGTTAACATTTTCCTACACTGAAAATATATTTCTGATAGATACTTACCCCCTCTCACAATTAAAGCTATTCTCACTCTGACCACTCTCTAGTGCACAATCTTTCGCTCACCACTAGCCTTGAACTTCCACCTATGTAGTTGAACCCAATCTTCACTTTGAGATCAGGCACAATAAACAACACCAGAAGTAGGAAGGATGGGTAGAAGTTTGAGAAGAGGTGTGGGCAAACTTTTAACTTCCGATATAATTACTTACCTTCATTCACAATTACAGCTAGAATCCCAAATTGAGTAGGTGGAGGGACCAGTGGAAAATTACCTAGATGAGCACCCTTCAAAAGCATCTGATGAGCACCCAACAAGTGTGCCACCTCTATGTAAAGGAAACACATCCATGGGAGACTGCACTACATCTGAATTAGGTATACTCATCACCCAAGTCGAGCCAACTGGTGTCATATCACAATCAAAGTGCAGAACAAGTGATCCATCCCAAATCCAAAAGGAAGAGGAATGTGTGTAGAGTGGCTAGGGCTCATTCGACTGTAATCAATCAAAAGGTCAACTCCAGTCCAGACCAGTGGTACCAGGAGGAGCTCGACTGGCCTCTGGCAAGAGGAGGGTCCTGAACCATTCACCTGAGGTGTAGGAACCAGAAGGTGAAGAGGAGCCTCCGTACTGAGAACATAAACCAGCATGTATGCAAATCCAATAAAACCTGGAACATTAAACCTGGGAATGTATATCAGGAAGGTGAAAATGCAATGGGGAAAGGTCACTCCCAGTCCAAAACTAATCCGCATTGTGAATGTAACATCCAGTCTGCAGTAGTAGGAAGTTTCCAGCCCACTCATATGTGAGAACATATGTTGGCTGGTCCAGCTCCTAAGAAAGTTGCCCAGGAACTGATATCCAGGCAGTGGCAGGAGTGAGGGTTCCCAGCTGGAGGAGCGAACTGTAAAATAGATGGAAAAATCCAGTTCAGACTGGTGGCATTTGGAATAAAACATCAGACTTGTGGCAAGAGGATAGTCACACCTTCTATACAGGCAGAACATCACTTCCCTACTCAAGACTGAGTAGAATTGTACAAACTCAGGAGGATTCCTCCATGATCCATCACCCCAGTGGCTAGGAGCTGGGAAGTGGTAAGGACTCCTTTACTCCACTGGAAAAAAAGGGGGGAAGATGGAGAGTCCAGAAGAAAGCATCACTGGAGAAAGTGGAATGAGTGACCACAAAACCCTATTTTGG